TACGATCTAATTAAGGTGATATGAGTGCCAGTCAATGCAATGATTACAGCAGATCAAAGAAAATAATCGTAAGTCAATCTTGCCATTTAACCTTTTTAAACTGCTGTAAACGTTATGACATCCCTCTTAGTTTTTGCAATTTGATGAGAAAACATCATTACGATAAAGTCAATTAAAGATTATATAAAGCTTCTTTGCAAAGATTAGAGGAGACATATAATAAAGAGAATATAAAATTATGTTTTGTTTTAGATATTAAATCTAGATTCAGGCATGATTTAAGTCAGATTCTCACATCGAAGGATTTATTGAAACTACAGGTGACAGGCAAAATGACAAAAGGATATCGGACTTAATCAAAAATGCACCAGAAGAAGCTGAATAAATATGGAATATATGAGCAGCCGAAGGTCCAACCATCTGGAAAAAATGAAGCCTCTAGTCTAACGGGTCACAAAGTCCAGACAAGAAATGAGGATAAAGTAGTGAATCTATCTGCTGTCCCTTTGACCTGGAAACGACAAATATCCTCCATAAGGGACTATATTTCGCACTTCGGAATGAAAGGAAGACAATCAAGGATATCTTAGTGGAGGTGATAAAAACCTGCGAAGGGCAATTTTAAAATTAAGAGCTGGAAATTGAAATAATCCCAATACTCTTGGCGCATCAGGAACCCACGCATAAGGACAATATAACCAAGATACATATAGAATTAAATAGAAACGAGCAAATAGGAAGGTGCCTTAGTGGTGATGGACAGGAAGGAATATACAGAAAAAAATAAAATATTCTAGGGGCACTTCAATGTATCGGCTACTACCAAAAGACCCAATAGTTAAAATCAAATGCACAAATGCTGAAGGTAATAAATGGGAATGAGGAAATCGACAAATGGACAATGAATTCACTCATAAGAAATGATGTAAGAGCCTCAGCAGCATACGGTTTACCAAGGTACACAAAGGAGAGCCATTGAGACTGATAACCAACAAAAAACATGGACCGAAACATAAATTGTAGAAATTCATTTGCCTCCAATTAAAGGAAGTGAATAACACTCTCAACGGCCGCATATATGAGCAAATATTTGATCTCTCTATTGGCTCAACACTCTCACTTCTGTTGGCTAATGGAGAAGTTGAAGTATAATTTAAAAAATGCCACCCCAGCAGCCAACAGTAATCATGCGATATTTGGATGACTACTTCGCTATTTGTTCGCATAGAAGAGAAGAATCAGAAGATTTCCTGATCTTGATAAACGAAATGAATGAAAAATTCAAATTCACCATGGATGTGGAAGAGAACGGACACTTACCGTTCTTGGGTGTGGAGGTAATTCGTTCCGAGGAAACTCTAAAGAAATCGCATTCTGAAATAAGTCTTAACTTCAAATCGCACTATACTTATGGAATAAAGAATGGAATACTCCGGAGTATGATCTTAGGAAGCTTGCGAATCACTGATTCTGAGTTTTGAGAAGTAGAACTGAGAAGGCTAACTCAGATGTCTTTTGGAAACGGATATCCAGAAGAATCAATACAGCGCAACATACGGATGATGAACAAATGGACATACAGAGATTATGAAAGGAAAGCAAGAGGAACAGAGGAAAAACGATGGATATGTCCACCCTCCTGCGATTTGACTCGAGAGCTACGGCCAATACTAGAGAAATGAAACATTCGTATAATCCTGAATAAAAGGATACCCCTCTTCACCTGTTTGCCCACATAAGATTAAGAAGTCAAAAAATGGAGTGCTCCGGATTTTACAGCACAAACTGCAAGCACTGTAAACAAAAATACATAGGAAAGATTGGAAGGACAAACAGCACAAGGATCAAGGTGCATCAGCGACTATGCTAAAATAAATATGTAAAAATCCGAAAAAGCTGAGCACATCGCCATTACCAGCAATACAATCGACTAGAATGCATCGAAAAATCTGGTCTTATATAAGGAAAACACGAGGAAATGGAATATCAGAGGCTGTGAAAATCCTATTTTAAAGAAACCTGATAAACAGGAGATTAGAAGGAAGAGTCAGCGATAATTTCGCGTACTAACTGAACAGACATGGACATTTAGCGAAGACATCAAAAAGAAGACGCTCTTAATTTATGCGTAGAAAATTCCTAAATTGTAGTCGTGACTGCTAATAAGATAAGGGAATAGAATATAGTATAATTTCAATCAAATTACTTTATTAATGCAATAAACTTCTACCATCTAAAAAATAAATAATAATATAGGACAGAAAGACACAGGCAAGAAGCCCACATTATTTTTCCGAACTATTTAGTTTCACGATAATTCATCAACGATCCTGTATACCCAAAGCATTTACGATTGCTAGGAATTGCTTCAATGATCAAAAGTAAGCTAATCAAATGATTAAGCCAAGGAATTTACACAGTGATAGAATAATATATAAGAGCATTGGCTATATGAGGTGGAATTAAATCGTCTGAAGAATGGTTTCTATTCATTAAGTTTCGCACCACAAATACATTTAGAAAGTGTAAATGAGGACTACCAGTAAATCAGTAATGAGATTCGTTTAAAGTAATGAAGGACTGGTAGTAGAATTTTCTCTCAATGATTAGTAAAGCTGAAGTTTCCATTTAATTTCGCA